GGGGGGGGGGGTCAATGAACATAGTAAATGAAGCGGTACTTATGTTTCAACGAACAATTTTCTATTCTGGTGTCGTGCCTGGAGACCCTCTCATCACAATTTTAGACATCCAAAACAATTTTAAAAAGTTTAGAACTATACTTTTGAAATAAAAAAATTCGCATTTAGTTATAAAATGTAGGAGGAAAACGTTAAAGTTTTTATTTCTCACAAATGTCGCCTTCCTTTTAACAATCATTAATTCTCCGAGATATAGTTAATTATTTAAGCGTTTGCCCAATCAAAAAACATATGTAGATATCGGCAAGTGTTACAACTTTGGTTTTGATGTCTAACATTGTGTAGAAATGGTGAATAACTTGGGGGTTGGCTCTCCACGCCACGGCACGGACTATACAATAGATTGGATCTTCCTTTGGAAATTTCCAAAACTTAAAAACTTTTGAAAAAGTATTTCAGAAATTTTGCATTAAACAATTGTATGACTAACAACCCTATAGAAAATAGGTACACAATAAAATATACCCCTGGAGACAATTGGTACACAATAAAAATTTACAGTTGATATCACTATTTTCGTTTTAAAATAACATTGAAATTAAAAATCCTTGATACATTCAAAATGCCAGATAATTCTAAAATATTAAAACTTTCTTAAATGAAACATTATACAAAATAAAAACAGCCGCAAAATCAAAACCTTTAACATGCCAATTTTTGTAATAAAGGATATTGTTGTTGAAAATAATCAGTTGTTGATAAAGAATAACTCGCAAACATGTTTTTTATCACTTTTCATTGAATTTATTCAAAAAAAGTTTGAAATATTATTTCCAAATAATGTTTCCAGCAACAGCTGATTTATACTCTCATCTTTACAACTATATTCATCAATATTTGTTCTCTAAATAATACAGTTTTCACGACATTTTTCACAGATAATCACAACTAAATCCAACCTGCGGATTGTTAAAAACACCATATTTAATCACTGAACGGTTTCCTACATTATTGATGCAATAATTTGCAATATAAGTTTCGTAGTTTCGCCGTATTTTGAACCCGAACCCACGGCCATGATTTTTCCTGTAGGGAGAAGCGAGTACGGCACAGGCTTCTCTACCTGCTAGGGAGAACCCGCCAAATTTAAAATATTCCGAAATTTATTTTGTTCTCTGCAAAATTAAAATTCTTGGATCTCCTATAATCCCTGTAATCCTCAAATTTTTTCCCATTTTGATTAACTATAGTCTATAAACATTTGAAAATTTGGATTCAAAGCGATTAAAAGCCATGATTGTACATTTTAAGGGCCGTACGTGTACATTCCTATAAAAAGGGGAATGCCATATATAATTCATAACTGCAGTCAGTCAGTAGCCCGTTCCTTTCTCGATATGCACAATCTATAATGTTGAAGATATCGTCATTTTTTAGCTGTACACGTATAAATACAAGTGACCCTCCAATAGTGGCATGTCCGATTCACAAAGAATATCCTTGAGGTCTTTGTCTGTCCAGAATTAATGAAAATACCCGGTTTCTCTGTTGAAAAATTGCATGGTAATTTCAATATTTTGGTTTCTATAAATGTTGAAAGATTGTCATCTTCTATGTTTCTTCAAATCATGAAACAGGAGAGATGGAAAGAAGTTACTTTTGAATTGCCAAAATATTCTCGCATATCACGTAGTATCCAAAGTTTGCATGCTCTTCCGCAAAATTTATCAGCATTTTGCCAATTACGCCATTTAAACTCGGGTGAAAGAAAGGTCCAAACCGTTGCTTTCGTTTCAAACCGGACACATGAGTGTCGAGAGTGTCAGGATTGGGCACAAATATTATGAATTTTTATTATCAACGTTTTAGTAACTATTTTGCATGCCGCGAGAGCAAATATCAATTATAGAAACAATTTCCAATTCATATTATTAAGCACTATGAGAACTATAAAATAACACAGCTTCCTTAAAATTTAAACTGTGAGTGATCGTAAAATTTAAACAATTCACTGCCAATAAAACCTCATACCATTTTCGAAACAATTCGAGGTTTTTCATTATCGCACATTACAAAAAGGTTTCCAACGCAAGTGTATTTTACTTGCGCGCAATTCCGTAATAATTGCACGCAATAAACGCAACGGAATTGCGCGAGCGCAATTGCTTCCAACTTCCTTGCGTAATTTGTGTGGATCAATCTTTGGTAATGAATTGATCCGCTCTACTGCCCATCCGTCCTAATGTGCCCANGTGTATATGTAGGGTTAGGTTAGGTTAAGCTCATTTCTGGGCCGAGCGCTGCGGCTAGCACATGCTAGGGGGCCGAGCGCTGCGGCCACATGTCTGGGCCGACCTACGAAAAGTGCCCATCCGACCTACGAAAAATGCCCATCCGACCTACGAAAAGCGCCCATCCGACCTACGAAAAATGCCCATCCGACCTACGAAAAATGCCCATCCGACCTACGAAAAATGCCCATCCGACCTACAAAAAAGGCCCATCCGACCTACAAAAAAGGCCCATCAGACCTACTAACGTGTAGTTCTTAAAGTAGCTTAAAGTAGGTCGGATGCACCAATATGCTGTTTTTAACGTGCCCATCTGACCTACAGAGCATCGGTCCTACCACAGCTGTTAAAACCACGTGGTTGTAGGTCGGATGGGCAGTAGAGGGGATGGGCGTAGGTCCAAAAATACACCATCCTTTGAACCATCATGTAAGAAAGTCAGAATTAATAAAACATGGGAGAAATCTAAGAAATTACGGAGAAATCTAAAAAATTAGGAAGAAATCCGGGTTTATTGCAAAGGGCCTAGATTATTTTATAGAATATTTAGAGATTTATAAAGGAATACTAGAAAATATTAGATTTAAGACGAAAATACAAATACTCCGCAAGAGAAGATCTGAAGCAAGTATTTATCAAAAAAGAATCCTAGGGGCCGGGTAGAGGGCTCCTAAATGGCGTTTAAGCTTAATTACTAGTAAACTTTTCCGTTAACAAATGGAGCCACTTAAACCTTTATTTAAGATTTAAATTGCATATTAAGGTTAGAAAGCATTGAAAGAAAAATTATCTTAAGTTTCAAGGATTATAAAAACCGACCTGTATGTCACAACACATTAAGTTGCCTTCTTGCTTCTGAACGAACCAAACAACTAAAATGTAGAGAGGAATAAAAACTCAAATTCTCATATCAGCTCAAGGATAACTTCTATAGATAATGCCTTCCTTATTGTAATATAACCCACCTTGTAAGCAACATTCAAACTGAACTATTACAATATAATTATCTATTCTAATAAACATGTTTTTATTCTTTCTTTATTTATCTCAACAATGGAGTCAGAGAAAACGATGCAAATTATGAGAAGAGGAATGATTTAAATCCTACCGTGGTTCGTTCAGCTGAGGATATATATAACTAGTAACTGGTATATCACCAATAATCACTGTTTAAGGACGGATTACAAAAGTATCAATAGATTTCTCTTTCGCCGGGATTTAGAAAATCCTACAATGGCTGCCTTTAAAATCGATCAATAGGCAAACGTCGGTGGAAGCAGAGCAGTATAAATAATCCTAGTATTCGGCGGCACCGGGTTGAAATCTGTTTAACCTGCTACAGATGTTTCGAGTCTAGACTACATAACTTTTAGTCCAGCCTTTTAAATATAATAAGATTGGATGAGTTGGATGAAAAAGATAAATTCGGGATTTCTCTTTTTCCTTCCCATTTTCCCACGATCAATGAAGGACCTGAATTAAAGGAAGAAAGGGGGTAGGGGGAGGCACGGGCGGTTTAAGCCAGGGTGGGTAAAGAAGAAAAGTTGCGTGAAAATCCCCCCCCCCCCACTGAATACTTCAATTTACACCCCTCTTATTTGGGTAATGTTACATCGTCTATACGCAACATCCCCCCTGCTGAACTTCGGATATTGTAGTATAGCGTAGGTCAGAAGTGTCGAGTATGGCGGATTTGCGTAGGTCGAAAAAAATACAGGGTGTCCCAATAAACATGGGAATTCAGTGACGAATTCGATATCGTCTTTTTAAATAATTCTTTGATTTAGTATAGTGATACGTCTACTGAGAAAGCTGTAATCTGGAAGAGTTTCGTCTGCTATATGTTCACATTTTGTTTGTTTATGTTTTGACTGCATAGGTTGTACTTAAAATAAAACAAGAAAATTGCAGTATACAGAGTAAACTTGTCCGTCTACACTGTTCATCATGCGGAGACATTATAGAGACATATTTACAGTCTTTTACCCTTTTCATAAAATAAACTCTAGCAGACATAATATTATGGCTTTTGAAATTAGGTATTACAATGCCAATTCATAACAAAGACGATATCGAATTCGTCACTAAATTCCCATGTATTTTAGGGACACCCTGTACAATACTTATTTGGCAAGGAAGTGCGATTTACAACAAAAAAGACATGTATTACAATATTTCCCCTTATGTTTTGCAAAAAAAATAATACAATTTACCCGCCCCCCCTTCATGCTAATAATTCAGTGCTTAATATATAACCTCCCCACTTACCAAGAATGAAAAAAATGTGATAATTGAAAATTTTGCAAAATTTTTATCAAGACCACACGTTTATATCAGGCCTGAAAGTCCCCTTTCCATTTTGATCCTTTTATTTAAAATACTGCTTTACTGTACCTTACTGCTCACATTAGTGTTGAGAAAATTCATTAGCTGCCCCTCCCCCTGTATTGCAATAATTCATTGGCAATATATTGCAAAAAAAATGAAATAGTTATCCATTAAATTCAAACCAAGTTATGAATAGAAACCTTGGGAGATGCGAACAGGAACTTTAATCATTTAAGCTGAAAGATTCTGGTCCGAATAAAGATGAGTGTTATTTTCACCTTGAACAGTGAAAGGGGGGAGGGGGTTGGATGAAACCTAAAGGAAAGTAACAAAATATTGGAAAAGGGGGGACACCCTCTGATGGAGCAACCAAATAAAATCTTTCTCTTCTTAGTCTTATAAATACTGAGAAGACTGCGTTATAAGATCGCCAGGTGGTATCAGTCATTCTAAGCGATATGAACTTCTTTCTTATATTGAGTAATAGCTTATAATAATCAGAATCCATAAAACCTGAGTTCTGAACTTTCGTGTGTAAATTCGTTGAGCTTGGACCCTATATCTCGATATCCAATTTGAACACTTGAATTTAAGGATAAATGCTTGATCCCTTACTTTTAAGTTATCCCTGCAGGGTATGACCACCACTGGATATCGGAGGAATGATATTTATCCGTATACTCCGAGATTTACCACACACAAGTTCTGAACTCTGATTACATGTTTCTTCATTATTATAATAATCTATTCCACTCAGACAGAATACAAAAAAGTTTAGTAAACCAATTATCTCCTACTTTCTCTTGGAGAAAAAATATTTTTTTGTTAATATTATATATATATAATATATATATGAAAGAAAATATATTTCAAATATATAATAATTTTACTACTCTATAAATATATAGAGGGATATTTAATAAAAATTTAACATATTCTATTATAAAACAATAAATAAGGAGTGGTGGTGGACTGACGGGATGCTAATAAATCTTCTAATTGATGCCTGAAACAATTTAATTTTAATGTATAAACATTATGTATACAGGGTTACCCACAATAAGATGCGACTGTAAAGACAACCAGAAATACTGACTATGACAATTCCAAGATTGAATATAGTCTTTACATAGCCTTTTTAATGATTGACCAATAAAAATTACAGTTGCGGGGAATAGCAAATATAAAGTGCCAGACAGTTTATATTCCCCACAGTCGTCTCTGAAGTCTCATTCTTTGTGGTTAATCCTGTACTGAACTTGTCAAAGTACTAAGTACAAAGATGGAGATATTTAAAAAGAATATCCAAAGAATATTGATGAATTTTTGCATTCAGTGAAGAAAGGAACTGAAAACTACCACAAACTCTAATTTTCTATTCCTATTATCTTTGCAATATGATGTCATATTTAAATGTTATTAACTATGATTTTTAGGGCTATTTCTAATAACGTTTTTCTTATCAGCTAATAAAGAAATAGGAGTTAGAAAACGAACGTTGGTGGCAAGTAATCAGTTCCTTTCCAAGAATTTTAGACAGCTGATACAGTTTACAGGGGAAATTAGTTCCAAAAATAACACTTGGCCCATTTCTAACACTGAGTGTAAGAAATGGACCAAATCTGCAAAGATATCTTTTTTAAGCGTATAGTATATCCTTAAATCCAAGCCAGAGTTAAACAAAATTTCACAATACATTTATAAGAAATGGCTAAAACTATTTATTGAAACAAGAAATGTCAACTTTAAACCAATAACAAGGTGAGAGAATTAGTTTTTAATGATTCTTGTTTTCATTTTCGAACATATCCCTATTTTGGAACAAATGCCGCATTTTAGCTCATGTCGCGTTTTTTAAGCATATCCTGGTTTGAGACAATTTTTCGAATTCATATTAAATGTAAATTTTCAAGTATTTAGGCACTTATGTCACAAAACAAGATTTTTTGATAAGGTGAGATATAAACAAAATGGAAAATAAAAACAGAATGTTCTATTGTAATTAAAAAAGAACATTACGGCATTGAGAAATCAAAATAATAATTTTATTTTGTTCTTCCAATGTAGATTTTACTAGTAAGGCGGGTTAATTGATTGATTAAAATGCAGGAAACTAAATCAACTTTATTCCCTTGTTCAACTAATAAAATGTGAAAACTTAGATTCAAATATAATTCAGCAGTTAATTTATGCTTCATAAGATAATTTTAATTTGCAGTGATTTATTTTGTAAGTTATTAAAATGATTTTTTAAAATTGTGGTTTATGCTCAAAAACGGGAAAAAGTGGGTTTTGTCTCGAAAACGCGATTATGATTCAAATTCAGATATGTTCTAAAATGGAAAACCTGACATTGTCTTGATTTATAAAATGTTGGTTATAGTTTATACTATCGACTTTTACTCTCAATATGGGCCCAGATCCTAAAACCCCAGTCTTTCAAGTTGTGCCCATTTCTAACACTCAGTGTTAGAAATGGGCCAAGTGTTAGTTTTGGAACTAATGTCCCCTGATATACTTTATACCAATAAGCAAGGAATCTACAAATGTAGTTTAGAATTGGGCGCACATTTTTTTAAAAAGAAAAACTTTTTACCCAAAAACTCGAGTACTAATAAAACTATGCTAAATTGTGATAAAACACGCATATGAGGAGTGGTCGCAATAATAAAATTAAATGAGAAGACGGTATTATAAATTTGTCGGCAATCAGCATATTTGTCAAACTCAAATCCACGTCAAACTAGATTAGAAATCAGGGGCGTATTCAGGAATTTGTCCAGGGGGGGCTTAAATTTTTTTCTCTTTCCAGGGGGGGTNATGTTTGCTAAAAGAATGGCACAGAAAACTAGTCGGGTTCGAGAGAAAATAAATCATGTTTGCTAAAAGAATGGCACAGAAAACTAGTCGGGTTCGAGAGAAAATAAATCATGTTTGCTAAAAGAATGGCTCAGAAAACTAGTCGGGTTCGAGAGAAAATAAATCTTGTTTGCTAAAAGTTATTTTAATGTCAAATAAATTAAGAAAAGTCCGGGTTTCGTATTTCTGGAAACCGAGCAAACCGAACCATAGAATTCGATATTTAATTGAACTTTTTAAATAACGGCAAAGACAGAGTTTGGATGCAATAATGGAAAAGAAAGTTCCAGCCATTATGCAGAACTCTTGTTGGTGCCCCCACCCCAACTTTACGAGCCCCTATTCCTATTGATTTACGTGTTTAGACAATTTGCATGAAAAAATGTCGGCCAGTAAAACAAAGTTTTAAATGTCTGATTTACCTTGTTATTACAGAAACCTGTTCGTCATCACATTCAAGCCAAATATCATCCTGATCGGATACTAGTCCGGGGGATTGACGGGACCCGGAGTCAGATCCGTTACTTGATCCAACCCTCTCCTCTGTAAGACTAGGGTTTAGCTTGAGCCCACAACAGGATATACTTCCGCAAACAGGGTTTGACACGTTGTACTGGGGTTCTGTTGGTGTAGAATTGGATTTACTAAACATCTTTAAAATGCCGCGTTTCGTGTTTTTATTCCTGAGCGTGGGATCAACTACGCCAGGACGTCGACACTGGAAATAGTCAAGGTTTACGTCTCCGGCCCTCACACAGGCAATATAGTGACCAGAGGCAAGGGAAGCTCCAAGGTGCAGGATAACCGAGTAAAGACGATATTTATGAATAGGTCCACCCGGGCGCTCACGGCACTTCTGACAAAAACAGTCCATGATCAAAGGGGTTGGAATATAGTCGGTTAGCTTACTTACGAACGCTCTGGAGGAGGTGGTGGTAAACCGTTTTAGCTGGAGAACTAGGACAGACGGTAGAACCTCGTAGGAGACCGTCCTTTGCGCCTCGTTTAGCCGGGAGCATTCGGAACACCAGTACTTGTTCACGTCCCGTAGAGTCTCGCTGGCCAGAATACGGTTGATAAAGAAATTATATCCCGATTCCTCATCATCGTCATCACATTGTATTGGAATGTCTATGTTAGTAAACTCCTCCTTCTTGTAAGTGCTGCACTCGCACTCCAAACATTTGGTTCTCATCACCCCTATACCGACAAACTTTTCCTTTACAAAATTGCATGGATTGGGAATTGTATCTTTAAGTTCTGCTAATCCCGGTTTTTCCGTCCCGTTGTGACAATTGGCATCTAGAGCGTTAATAAGATTGTTAGTACTTCCATTCTGCTGATTTTTCTTCTTGGATTTTTTATCTTCCACCGGAGGAGGAAGGACTTCCGGTTTAAGATCTCCCGTGATTTTAACGTCCTGGAGATGAGTAAGGAGGGTGACTAGAAGTTCATGTGCGTCCTGCTGCTGGTTTCCTTCAAATAGAGGATAAAGGCGTCCTATAGACTGGAGCAGGGCGGAAGGAAGGACAGGATCCTGAACAAAATTTTTTTCATTTTTATCACAAAATTTTTTTAGTTTCATATTTAATGCTATTTAATCTTATATATATTTTCTAATTTTTAAGCTAAAACAATAGCGGGGGCGGGGCGGCTACGCTTGCCAAATAAAATTGGCGGTAAACGTGAAAATAAATTATTTGGGTTGAAAATATCTCTAAAAACCGTCAATTAACATAAATTGGCTTAGCATGGACTGGCAAACATTGTAAAAAATTTAATTTGAAAAATGTATTAATGGCCAACCTTGGGGTCTCCCTTGTATCCGTCGGAGTTACATAATTTCTGGAAGAGGTGATGAAGAGTGTGAATAACATCAACTAGATTATCTCTATCTTCATCAGGTTTTGGTTTACCATTCTCAAGCTTTAATCTATTCTGAAGGTCGGAGTTCAGGTGATGAAGGTTGTGACAGAAACCCGGAGTAAATCTAGAAAAAATCTCATTATTTATTTCCTACTTTTATGAATGAGAGAAGACTTAAAAGGTTTTTAAAACCTTAAGAAAATAAAGAAAACAAAAATTTTTTGTTAAAAAATAAATTTACATCAATGAACTAATTAACTATTCTAGGGAAATAAAACTCTTATAAACAGACGATTGGACTAAAATATCAACTTGATTTAATTTTCCGCTAAAAACTTTGGGTTGGAAAATTTCTTGTTTAAAACTATCAGTGGTAAATTTAATGAAGAATATGGATATCACAAAATATTTTCTCTGGTCTTGAAAATAAAGGCACAATTGAAATATTGGACGTTAACTGACAAGTTTTTCCAACCTATCGATACTTTTTATTCTTAGGTTCATTTGACAGACGTTTAAGATATAATTAAAGAATTATATGATATAAATGAGAACCTGAGTGTGTATAGAACTGAGTTAAGAAAGCAAGTATTGCCAAGGTTGGCGAGGGAGGAAATCCCTGGAGAGAGGGATCTCGTGGAGTCTGAAGATAGATCCCCATTCATCATACTTCATTTATATACTGCCTACGCTCTACATAGTCGTCCAACAGAATTCATTTAATCATCTGAAAATACAAATCATTGGTAACATACGTAATACTTATAATATAACAGAAGTCTAAATTAATATTGGAAAATTAACGCACAACAAAAGGAAAAATTTATTCTGGATTAAAAATTTCTTTTTTAAGGTTGACGCCGAACTCACCTGATTCACCTAATTCGATTTCCACCCTGCCAATTAATGTTATTTACTTATTTCGGTTTTTTTGGTTAATGAAGGTATAAACTCCAATTATTATACTTACAACTCGTTTAATTTACATCCCTAAAGCGCTGATAGTAGTTGATTTCAGATTGGCCATTACGTTATAATTGCAGCTATAATTGTAAACGGTTGTAAAACGCGAATGTCTAGTTTTTAAAGAATTCTATATATAACTAGCTGAAGTGTCCGACGTTGCCCGTGAAATAAAAAATTTAGATTTATGAAAAATGTAAAGTATTTAAAAACAATGGAATTTTATTTAGCCTATGTTATCCCAAGTGTACTTATGGGTTACCTCAAAAAATTTCAGCCAATTCGGTTCAACTGTTTGGCCAGCTATAGCTAACATATATAAAATCACACAAATATTTATCTGAGAAAAGAGCTTTATTTTATAAAGTAGTTAAAAATGATAAAAAAGTAACCTACCATTATTATATTAATATTTCGCTATTATTACGTTTTATCGTAAACTGTTATAGAATATTCAAAATTAAAATAGCTAATTTGAACTAATTTGAAATGAAATCTGAAAAAGAGGCCCCGCTATGAAATCAGTATTATCACAGCTACGACGGGCAGGGGCGTATTCAGGAATTTGTCCAGGGTGGGGGGCTCAGCACCCGGTGGGGCCTAAAAAACCCCTAAAATCAATGGATTTTACTGGTCCAGAGGGGGGCTTAGCCCCCATAGCCCCCCCCCGAATACGCCTCTGACGACGGGTCAATCTAATGGTCAGAGTTCAACAAGAAGAAAAATTTTAAAATTTACAATTAATAATCCGATTAATGGGAATAATAATTAGTACTCAGCTGACTGACATTAGAACACTTGCTCATGCAGTCCTAATAAATTACAATTAATCAGACGACTTTACAATCTAATGTTACAAATATGATTGACGAAACGATAATAACATAATAGACCTAGTCTTTCCATTTCCAAAATGTGATCTGCCTTTCTAGAGCATTTAAGATTATCAAAGATATATATATGTAAAATCGCCTGACTAACTGTCATAAGTTCCGGGTCACAGATTTTAACTGTGGTTTCTCATTTATGTATACAGATGATCCAAACATCATAGAGTTAATAAAAAAGGTGTTCGTTCCACTTTTTACTTGAAAACATATTTTGGTCTGGTTTTACCCTCGTCAGTTCTTGAGATGGTTTCTGTCATGAAAATTCACTACTATCGATCGGCACTTATTGTCAACGAAACATGGTGAAATAAAAATAAATTTTACAGTAATGCGTTCTCACATGTTGATCCGTTTTGCTGTCAGTAATCCTACATATTTGTTATGATAAATTAACGTTAGATCACTCAAACATACAAGTAAATTCATCTTTCAAGATAATTGATTATTTTACTGTAACATAATTTTTTGGTTTGGTTTGGTCCTGTTCGAGTCTAGGGAAGGGAATATTAGGTTAAAGGGACAGAAGAGATATTTCAAAGTATAATTTGAGTAATGAGTGATTAATAAAAATCTATCTTTAAATACTTTATATTTGGCGGAAAACAACAGATTTTTTATCAAAACATATTTTCAAGGTTTCCACAACGGAGAAAGATAGAACTTGAAAATTTATAAATGTCGTCTTTTAAACTTCCCTAAATTAGTGTTGCTGCATCATCTGAACTAAGACTCTGCAAACTTTTAATTCTTCTCCAAACTATTATTAAAAAAACACACAAAAATGATTTACAAGATGTAAAAAATGAAATAAAAAATCACATTAATCAGCAAATTGACATTAAAAAAAAAAACCTTTTTCTGTCCAATTAACTCGAACCTAGGTGCGTATCAAATTCATCTTAATAAACAGAAAATAGTTGCTGAAGTTCAGTCACTCAATACTACTAGCTTATAAACATTTTTTAATTGTGCCGCTTGTGGTAAATTTAAACTATATTTAGATTAATTGTATTGCAGGCTAAAAATTTTGAATTTTTTTTTGTTAACTTTTCAATTAGAAAATTTTATATTTTCTTAATCATAAGTTAAATTAAGTCCAAACAATAATGTCTCATCATTCACAAGAATTTGAAAAAGATGTACATATTTTAGAAGCAACGAAAGTTGTAGGCTGGATGATACGACACTGTCAAAGTCCAGATCAGAGTCAAATAAAGCAGAAGATAAATAAATAAATAATGTAAACTAAAAGAAATATTATTCAAAGATAATAGTGAAAATAAAACTGTAAAGATGACGGCAATGGCACAAACAAGGTTTGCCCATAAACTTTTTGAGCCAGCACCGATGACTATATCTGAAGCAAAAACACACTGCGTGTCCATATTCGATAAATTAAGGTACACAAACACTTTTTCGACAAAATTTAGCAAAAATTCGTCAATTCAAATTTCTGTTAATTTCGAGAAATCGCGCTAGTATACTCTCTAGTATTCTCTAGTACTCTCGCTGTTTTCCACTTTTTACTTAACTCCTAGGACATTTAATTTGAAAGTTTTTTGTCCACTTTTGAGGTGTACACTTTTTTTAGTTTTTAATGTTTTCAAAATGTTTTCACTTCTTTTGTCTACAATTTTCTCATGAAACATGTCATGACAGAGCTCTAAGAGAGAAAGTGAGTTGGATTGATATATGATCATGTATGTGTTTAGGTTGCAAAGAGAACAAGGAAGATTTTGCGATGTAATCTTAAAGGTTTATGATCGAGAGTTCCCAGCGCATAGATGTGTTCTAGCCTCCTGTTCACCTTGGTTCGATACTAAATTTAAAGTTCACAAAACCCTGAAGGAGGTTGTGGACGTGGATTGTAAAAATTATGAAGTGTTCCATCTTGTTCTCACATATATGTATTCAGGAAGAAATCAGTTCAATTAGAATCAAAAGTTAGATTATAATCATCCCTATAATGCAAGTTTTGTCTATAATGAGAGCCGATTTTGTTTAACTGTAGATGTAACAAAGTAACTGTTATGTTGTTTGAATTTTTTGTTTTCAATTTTCAATTTTTCTTAATCATCAACCAATTTAATTAATTCTTCTCAGGAGTAAGGCCGCTTCTGTAAAAATCTTAAATGAAAGAGGGGGGGGGGGCATGGGGGGCATATAATAAAACTTAATACTTTATAAAAATGTTATTAAAATGTTAATTAACTGATATCTATACTTAGGTCAACTTGTAATTGACAAGGACAATGTTGGTGATATACTTGAGATATCTCACACCTATAGTATTAATAAATTAAAAACATACTGTGCCGAGTTCCTAGAGAAGAATCTGAAAGCATCAAATTGTTTAAATGTAATTGAATTAGCGGAGAGATATCACCTTGCTGATCTTTCAAAACAAACTCTGGCATATATTCACAAACACTTTGAGCATATAATCCAGTATCATGAGATTGAGAAGAAGAGTTTAGCTGATGTTAAAGATTATATAGATAAAGCTTGGTACTTTCCCAGTGAACTGGTTTTACGGTTGATTACCCGTTGGGTCAACCAGCATAGTAGTAGGGAGGATTATTTTGTGTCTCTTCTTCATAATGTAATCTGGAGTACACTAGATCAGGTCTTTATTTCGAGACACCTGGAGCATGATATGCTTTATCAATCCAGTCCTGAAGCTTTACTAACCATCCTGGATTTCTTGGACAAGAACAATATTAAACTAAGCTCCAGGTACTCAGAGATGTACAGAGAGCTGCAAGAGAAACTTCTTCCAAACAACGAGGTCGAACAAGAGTTGGATGATTCAAATTTATTCCTGTCTATGGCAATTAACTCTGCTGTAATGAAAGATCTTGAACATTCTGAGGTGGATGAAACCTTTAGCTCTTACATTCTACAGACTGAACCTATTGGAGATCCTAGTCAATACGGTCCGTTTAGACATCCCAGTGGTAACGAAATGGAAAGTTACAAAAATGAAACAGAAAATTCCCAAGAAATGATTCAGTTCCATTCGTCCTTCAAGAAATCTGCCAACCCACTTCAAGGAGAAGAATCCGGAAATGATTTAACAAAATCTGGTCAACAACTAGAGACAAGAGTTCCAGAGAACGCTGCTAGTATTCCTCCCACAGTTCGGATGCCTCATGAAACAGTTTATGAGCTGGAGCATGACTCACGAGTTTATAAACCAGAGTTTAGATCTATTCCAATCCAGTATGAAGATATTCCAACCTCACAGTATCCAACCCAGAGTCCTCCAACCCAACCAGAGACAAACCTTGGTTTTAGAAACTCAAATCTTGATCCCTGTGACGAGGTTTATAAATCATACAACTCCCAACCTCCGGACATTTCGGAGCAGTATTACAAACATCAGAACAACTTTCTGGCTAAGTCCGGACAAAACTACTCCAATACAGATCTAAGATGCATGCAGTACAATCCTGAGCAGGTTGTCAATGATGGAACCTTTAACCAGGATATATTTAAGAACGATCTGATTTACAGAGGAGAGACAAGGAACCCAAACTATAGTTATCCCATCTTCAGAGATAATCAGATGTATCCTGGAGACATTGACCACTACAGGAGTATGTGTTCTAACCAGCAGTATGAAAACTTTAAGCTTGAAGAGGAGAATGTGATGGAAAGAACAGATTACAGTTCCTATAAGAACGATGCTGAATCAGAACTTAGAAACTCTCCTGTTGATTCTAGTGACTCGGGCGGGTGCAGACCTGAGAAAATAGAAAGGTTGAACAGTAAAAGTGATTTTGATTTCTGTACTTATCAGTTTCTTGAGCAAGTGATAAATGAGCAGGAAGGAGTGGAGAAGATCTCAACCACAACCAAGAGATACGATCCAAAATTTCGAGCTCTGGCAGAAGCATTTAAACAAGCTGAACCTGATCTCACAAACCAGGTTTCATCTCAGGATATGTTTGAATACAAATCTCCAGAGCGGACTACACGGGACGACAAGACACTAAGAGAAGAATTTAGAAACTGTAGAATATCCGAGAAAGCGAAAACCAAGACGATAATGGATTGTCAGTTTGAGAATCAGGTTGAGGATAAGGATCTACAATATGTTCCTATTTCTGTTGCTGAACTTGAGTATCCGCGTCCTGATACTCAAGTAGAAGGATGTGAACCTATTGAAGAAACTTCTGCTGATAATAATCTCGGATATCAAACTCCTAAATCAAGTTTTCAGGAACTAAATGAAGAAAACAGTGAAATTATTCCTGACTCCGTCCTTGAAACTCCTCCAAAAAATATGGTCGAATTTTCTACTCCTCCCAAATCAACAGGTAAATTCAGCCAACAGATGATCCTTACTCCAAAGGAAAAATATGCCAAAGAGATAAACGCAGAGCGTAAACTAGAATCAATTCAGAAAAATGTATTTCCCGAAACTGAACCTTGGACTGATGAACCTAAACTTCAAGTGATAGATACAGTCAATACGGATATCACCCTTCAGCCTACTCCGGAGATACCTGAATCTCCTGCTGTAACGGAGAACGTTGTTGTTCCCCGGAAAGCTCCGTTAACATCTACCATACTCCGGGCCAAGAAGAAGATGGCATCTCAGAAAAAGCTTATTTTAGAGCACGGGGAAGTGAGATTAACCCCCAAGCAAAAGATCAAACTGAAACCATTTCGGAAAAAAAATCCCAAGAATTTGGAGAAATTACTTGGTCATTCGTCTACAGGACATTCGTCTACAGGTCATTCGTCTACAGGACATTCGTCTACATCTCTGGATAGTTTAAAGAAAGATTGTATTGAGAACACTGTTATAAAGAGAATAGTGAATAGGAAGGATAAACTGCTAGCAGAGCATAGAAGCCAACAGTTTCCAGTTCAACCAGCTCTTAGAGAAGAACCAGTAGAGATACGTTCTTCTCCAGTAGAATCTGTGGATATGATAAACCTGGATGATATTGTGAATCAGATTGAAGAAACCTGCCTTTTCTGTGATTTTGTCTGTGTTTCAAGAAAGGATTTCTACAAGCATATCAAGGTTAATAAAATTAAACACAAAAAAGCTCATCATCATTATTATCATCATTATTATGATTATTATTATTACACTATTACTATTATTATTATTGTTTTTGTAGGAAATTCATTTAACCGTTGCTCCCTACCGATGTCCTTTATGTGAATATACGTCAAGTAAAATCTCCACCCTCCTTCAGCACTACCAATCACACAATACGAGATATCCCTGCTCCTCCTGCACCTTGAGCTTCAGGAGTAACCTGGAGCTAAAGCGTCATGAGAAATCTGTTCATAAACCTGTGATAACATTTTCTTGTCCAATTTGTCAGAAAGTTTTCAACAACAAGTGCACGCTACAACAACATCAGGAAATCATTTTTATTTATTTTAACAATTATTAACTTAAATTTTCTAATTCCTTTATCTTTACAACCTGATGGTGTGAACCTTTGATATTTCAAACCTAAATTATGTGAATAAGTACAAAATTAATAGTTTGAAATATCTAAGCTCTACACGCATTATGCAAAGATTTAGGGATTAGAAAATCTGAGTTTGTGGCAAAGACTTAATTCCTTTGTGCTTTTTTAATAAGATTTCTTTTATATCTCTTGGATTTGGAATTAATCTAAATTGAACGTATTAATTTTTTTCACTGTCAGAAAAAAAATTAATTTGAAAATTAAGTTTCAGATCAAATTTTTTACTTAAAAAGAAAAGATGTAGTTTGTTAAGATCAGGGTTCACGTAGGTCAAATTTTTTAGATCAGATTCGCTGTAGATCAAATTCCATAGCACCTGTTTTTTTATCAAGCATCTCTTGCATTGGGAATTTAACCTAAATTAAATCAAAAATTGTTAAAAATGTTTTTTAAGTTTTCTAAGTAAAGTAAAAAAAAATGGTTTAGGCTGTACACACAGAGGAAAAGAAGTTTAAATGTAAATTATGTACTTTCAGTACAAAGTACAATTCCCACCTGGCGGCTCATAAGAGAGTACACGATGGGAACCTGTTCAGGTGTACCAAGGAGGGTTGTCAGTACTGGACTCCTAAGATGACCCTTCTCAACGCGCATATCCGTGCGCACAACGGAGATAAACGGTTCACCTGTACTCACTGTGATAAAGGATTTGTTGAAGCCGGACAGTTGAGAAGACACGAGAAAATTCACAACGATGTTAAACCGTTCCAGTGTGATTTTGAGAACTGTTCCTTCTCCTCTAAACGTAAAGATAAACTAAAGGATCACAAGAACCGCCTTCATAAACCTGCTCCTCAAATCCAACCTGAGATATCTAGACCCAGTAAGATGATGAACATGAACAAGTACTACAGTGTGGAGAACAGTATACCCTTGCAGGACTCCCAGATACCATATGTCAAAGAGGAGGAGATACTTGGGGTCTGATCCAGAAGGAGGAGATAGAGAGGGGGTGTGAGCCTGGAGAAACTGGAGGTTTTCCCCATTCCAATCCAATTCTTTTTCAATCGTCCTTTGTTTTCTTTTCTAATCCTACTTTAGTTTTCTTCAAACTTTTCTTTTATCATTTATTTTGCTTTCCAAACCTTCCGATATCTATTATTATATCCTTTCTTCATATTTTGTTATTTCATTTATCTCCCAATCCTTCCTGTATCCAGTTCTTCTCAATTTTCATCCTTTCCCTTTTCACCCTTTTTTCTCATTTCGTTTTTTTCTGTTTTTACCTTTTCTTGAACCAAATTTTTTTACTTGAATTAAATGTAAATTATATTTTATATCATAGTCCTTACATTAAAAGATATTTTTTAAATAAATATATCTAAATATATTCAAAGCATTATTATTCTCATGAATTAGATTTATTACAATTTTCAAAATGATGCTGGCTTGCTTGGTATGTATATCTTCCATATTAGTTGAGTTGATGTATGTTGTAGAATTTTGTCCCAGTATCACTAAATATAGACTGGAGAGTGGAGACCACATTTTGGAAATCTCGTACTCTTTCAAACATTAACTTTCGTCGTCAGTCGTTCGTCACTCAATTTCAATTTACCTGATTTACCTGGTGTCACTGCAGTCGCCTATACAATGAATAAATTATAATTTGAAAAAAATAACAGAAATGGTTTATTGTGAGCGATTATGTTTCAAAATTTCTGTTTGTGAAAGACTTAAATTGTGTTGCTGGACTTAGAGGGGCGGGGGGTTCATTGGGACACAGTGGTACGTCGCCTTTCATGGAAAATGGGGACGTAACTATGGGAGCAGGAAGCTTTTAGCTACTGATTTATTATTAAAAACCATCTTGCTAAAAACTAATTATATCAAGTACAATAGATGGAAACGTAGAATTTGTACACTCTCAGTACAGCTGTATTCTGACGTCACAAGTGTCACAGAATTTATGTGAAATTGAAACAGTGAAATTATGGTAATTCTATGTGTTCTATGTGTTCTTTATTTTCTGTTTTTTACACTTTTTTGTTCAAATTTAGAAAACATGTCAACTAATTTTAGAAAATTTCATTTTCCTTGTTATATTTGACACTTGTGAAAGTCGTGTATAATTTGGTCCATTTCTCTATTGCCACCTATTTATTTACTTGATAATCTATTTGCTAGAAAGGAATTTTTTCCTTGCTACACCCCTTGATAAGCTAGTCAATAATTAGCTATTTGTATCTCATTATATGGAAATGAAGTTAACATTTTCTATTTTAACCCCAGGGGGGAGCAAATATACTCTCTCCGTCAGCTTATACAACACACTTATACAACCCTCACCTCAACCTCATCAATGAAACGAAAGAGAGGAAAAGTTCGCTTGCTTGAGAAAATGTGATAAAGGAAAGGGAAAGAAAAGGGAAGGTTGTGAAAGGAAAACAAGAAATGGCACAAAATGTTCCTCATCAAGGGAAATCATTTTAAATCATTCTTGAAGCATGAACATACAATTAACCCCATTACATACATTTTTCAAAGGCTTTTCAAAATTGTTAATCTTAGATCTGTAGCTTGAATAACAAAAAATATAATAACATAAACCATCCTTTCAAATTTCAAGGTCAAAGTGTCAAAAAATAAAGTGCTAGGGAAAAAACTCGAGGGGACGCCAAACGCCCCCCCCCCCAGCCTGTTTAGGTTTTATGATAAAATAAAGATAATGATAATGATAATGATAATGATAATGATAATGATAATGATAATGATAATGATAATGATAGTGATAATGACAATGATAATGATAATGATAATGATAATGATAATGATAATGATAATGATAATGATAATGATAATGATAATGATAGCAAACAAATTAAATAAATAATAATGATACTTGATTGCAAAAAATGGAAAAAGTTAGGAAGTTAGAATTGGAACTTTCGGAGGAAAATTAAACATGATCGCGTCACAGCAGTACCATTCAATCCTTTATCTAAATAAAAATCTCAGTTTTACTAATTTAAAAGAGATAAATTCATTCAATTTCACTCCTTGTTTCTGCTGGACAAATTCGTTAATCACATGTAATGATGTCCTCAAAGGGAACCGTGTTTAATAGAACATCACTTTTTACTTTAAGGGTCCTTTGAAATTACGTCGACAGTCCCTTTAATAAGGAATCATAAGAGTTATATCTAAGGCTAAACTGTTTCAGGAATGCTTGGTTTCTTTGTGTTCTGGGGTTCTCTGTTACTAAAGATGTATTTACCTACAGACTCAATATTCCGGAGTAAACAGCTTAGTTTATTTTCTCTAAATGTTACAAACATGGCGGATAATTATACTTATGTAGCAAACATGGCGGATAATTATACTTATGTAGCTAACAACGTAACTTTGTGAAAGAAATCAAAAATTCGATCTTATTTATGCTGTTTAAAAAAAGTGACGGAAAAACTGATCCAAAAAGTATTTTTACCTGTTGGTTGATGGGTTGAGATAGGATGGATCGGAAGAATTGATGGGTTGAGATATGGTGGGTTGGAAGAATTGATGGGTTGAGATAGGATGTATCGGAAGAATTGATGGGTTGAGATAGAGTGGATCGGAAGAATTGATGGGTTGAGATAGGATGGATCGGAAGAATTGATGGGTTGAGATAGGATGTATCGGAAGAATTGATGGGTTGAGATAGAGTGGATCGGAAGAATTGATGGGTTGAGATAGGATGGATCTGAAGAATTGATGGGTTGAGATAGGGTGGGTTGGAAGAATTGAAGGGTTGAGATAGGATGGATTGGAAAAATTGATGGGTTGAGATAGGGTGGATCGGAAGAATTGATGGGTTGAGATAGAGTGGATCAGAAGAATTGATGGGTTATCCTGGAATTAAAATTCAATGCAAACTATATATAAACAAATGACAACTGTGCGCGCGTGTTAAGATAAAGTTATGACAGTTCTTGTGAAATTGTTGAATAATTTTTGCTCAAAATTTCTGTGTTTTTATCAATAATGTACCAAAGCAATCAATATAATTCCATTAATAATTGTGTATATTGTTTTAGGTATCAAAACGTTTTTGTAAATGTAAATGTTACACTATGTAAAAAATAAAAAATATTATTTATAAAGAAGATAAAAAAATCAAAAAAATGCGGAGAGGAAAACAGTGGTTTAGGATGAGAAGTGGATGAGTGAATGAGTAGGATAGTGAAAAGGTAGGATAGTGAATGAGTAGAGTAGTGAATGAGTAGGATAGTGATTAGGTAGGATAGTGAATGAGTAGAGTAGTGAATGAGTAGGATAGTGAATAAGTAGGATAGTGAATGAGTAGAGTAGTGAATGAGTAGGATAGTGAATAAGTAGGATAGTGAATAAGTAAGATAGTTAATGAGTAGGATAGTAAATGAATATGTAAATATCTATGTTGTATCATATTGCTGATCTCGTTATCAACTTGCACACATAGATCAGCCATAGAGTAATATATTTAATAGATTGGACAACAGAGAATACATGGATCAGCCATAGAGTAATTTATTTAATAGATTTGACAACAGAGAATACATGGATCAGCCATAGAGTAATTTATTTGATAGATTTGACAACAGAGAATACACAAATCAGTCAAAGAGTCATTTATTTAATAGATTGGACAACAGAGAATACATAAATCAGTCAAAGAGTCATTTATTTAATAGATTGGGCAACAGAGAATACATAAATCAGTCAAAGAGTAATTTATTCAATAGATTGGGCAACAGAGAATACATGGATCAGCCATAGAGTCATTTAATTAATAGATTGGGCAACAGAGAATACATAAATCAGTCAAAGAGTAATTTATTTAATAGATTGGACAACAGAGAATACATAAATCAGTCAAAGAGTAATTTATTTAATAGATTTGACAACAGAGAATACATGGATCAGCCATAGAGTCATTTATTTGATAGATTGGACAACAGAGAATACACAAATCAGTCAAAGAGTCATTTATTTAATAGATTTGACGACAGAGAATATACAAATCAGTCAAAGAGTCATACAATGGAAGATTGGTCAACGGAGAAAACATAAATCAGCAAAGGCTGGATGGCGAACCGCAACAAATTCCTCGTCCGAACCACATTCTCCTTATTTTCTCATCCAAGCCACGTCCAAATGCTCATCCTTGGAAAAGTCTTCAAGTGTTATGAATTCAAAAGTCAGAACTTTTGCGTTGTGAATATTGGGATAAACTTATATTTAGAGATCAAGTATTTATCTTCAAATTCAAAAGTGCCAACATTGGATATCGAGATCAACCGTTAACGATTAACGATAATCCGCACGAAAGTTCCGAACGAGATTAATTTGCGGCAACTGCACAAAGAATGGCTCAAACTGCGCATAAAACAAGAACACAATTTAGAAGGAAATAAAACTTAAAAACTTTATTTGATTGAAACTTTTCTTTCGATTTACAAAAATTTAAAATTTCAGTTATTGTCCTAACGTAGCTGCCATGGCTCTGTCACAAATATAGAGAGTGGCTCAGATGATAATTGTTGGGGCTGGAAGGCCAGCCCTGAATTAGTCATAGAGCCATTTATTTGATAGATTGGACAAAAGGAGAAGACATGTCATATGTAAGTTTGTTACAATATAAACCAGAAAATGGCCGAGGAGTTCAAATACAACGGCTACATTTCATTACTATCTAGAGAAAGCTGTTGTGAATTGTCTATGGCAATATACAAATTTAAACATTATGTTGACAATTTCTGAAATAAAAGACCAATTAAAAATGAGATGAAAATGCGTCGCATGTTTTTGATTTATATTTTCTGTTTTTATATTTCTGTGACACAGATTCCCAGTGTGCAGCAGTATATCTAATTACACCCAGGATTTTCAGTATATTTTATATTTGTGTGAGAAACACATTTTAAAGACCCCTGACATATAAAATTGCGAATAATCAGATAAAGTCGATAATCTTTAGATTTTATAAACTCGCAATGTTTTTTTTTTCTCGTGAATACAAATCCAGAGATTTTCGTTTCTTTTAAAAAAATGTTTGTTCAATTTTCATATGTATACACACTGCACAGGGTTCGTAAAGAATTTTTCCCTCGAACATTTTCCAAAACGGCATCAAAATCAAGGTTAAGTGGTCGCAGCAAAATCAATATATTTCAGATTAGTGATTGCAGAGTTTTTTTCCCAGATTTTTCTGAATAAAATGATTGGATTATTAGAATTACTCTTCATGTACTGGCAACTTTTTATTTTCTCCCTGGCATTAGGAAAGATACATGTTAAACAAATTTTAAAAATTCGAAATTTTAAGAATAAAAGGATTTTTGAAAAAAATGACAAAAAGAATTTACATTTTTTATCCGCAATGGGTTTCCTCTCACCCCATTTGGTCCAGCCGTTTGGCCAGCTATAGCTAACATATATGTATATATATATATGAGCAAATATTAAAACTTGTAAAGGGGTGGTAATGGAAGTGCCCCACTATGGATTAAAGGGACTGTAAGCGTAATTTCAAGTGAAGACCAAGAAGGCAATGTCCGATTCTCAATGGTAACTTAAAAACCATAATCTGATCAAAAATATGGAAGAAAATATCGTTTTTCTAACTCGAAAGATGTTTAATTTTAATAATTTCACCATGGTTTCATAAGAAAAAATAGTGAAGTCACTTAGGCAGAGAAACCACTAATGAAATTTTACAGTTTTTAAAGAAACATTGATATCTAATTAATTCTTTATCAGACAAAGCTTGTAGATCGGGCAAATAGAAGGTCACTTGAAATTACCTAAGAACTGCAAAAAATTGGAAATGAGATTCTAGAAAGAATAGGAATTGACTGTACAAATAAATACTTTAAATTTGTTGGACTCAAAATTGATGAATTCTTAAATTGGGATTATCAAATAGAACATGTTTCAAATAAGATTGCTAGCTCAATTTTTGCACTGAATCAAGTTAAAAACATTTTACCATTAAAAATTCGCCTAATAGTTTATAATGCACTTGAAAGGCCACATAATGAGTATGGAATTATAACAAGTGGGGGAGCGTAAAAAATGCTTAACTACAGAAAATCAAATCTTTGCAAAAAAAAAGGGCAATTAGAGCAGTAAATAATATTTCATTTTATGCACAATCAGATCCAATATTTTTCAGATTAGATCTTCTAAATCTTGATGATACATATAAACTAGGTGTTCTATCTTTTATGCATAAATACTTTTTATCCAACTTCCTTCCATGATATATTTAATTCTTTAGCTGAACCAAATAGAACTTGAGCGGGTTCTTTTTAAAACTCTAGAATATTTTCCTTCCGCTTTATTTCCAAAATTATGGAATTAGATTATAAAGAAACTAAATCTGCAAAACTGTTTAAAAGAGAAATCTTCAAAAACTATTTAGAAAGTTATGCAAGTTATATCTGTAAAAAAATAGCTGTTTTTCGTGTGGATAAACTTAGTCTTTGCTATCTTCTTCACCCTGTATTTCATAAACCCTCTGTTACAACCCTTCCGCTGAGTACCCACCCTTTCCCTTATACTTTTTCACCCTCTCCTTACCTTATTACTGATTTATCATCATTGTTTTGTTTAAAATGTACACTGTACAGTGTACATCCATCTATTTATTTACAATTCTTATTCGCTTATAATAGGCCAACCAATCAAAACAATTGTGATTTTTAATTTGTATTATCTCGTGCTTTGTAGTTGAATAAAAATATGAAAATGAATGAATTAAGCGTACAGTCCCTTTAAATTTTGTCACGCTTTCCTGATACTCAGGACTTAATTGCTTAGGGTCTCTGTGAAAGGGAGGGGAGGGGGAACCAATCATTAAATGTGATACACTAAATACTGAATACTAGATGTAAAGAAAATTTGGAATAAACAATGAAGGGTTTTCAAAAAAAGATTGAAATGAAACAATAAAAATAGTGCAAAGTTATTGTAATAAAAAGATAAGTTGTATGATGTGTATTCTTCAGTATCTAACAGTCTCTCCATGTTTCTGTTACTCCGAACCTTCGGTCTGTTTCTCAGGACGGATACAGAGATAATTCTCTTCTTTCTCAACGGTAAGAAAACATTGGTAGAATAATAATCAATCCAGGAGAAACCAACCTAAAAGTTGTCCATCTCGATACTAATAAGTATCAAATGTCAATCCATCAAAGGTCATGGGTCATTGTATATTTAGGCGTATTAATGTAATGATTAGCAATAAGCAATTTTAGGTAAAGGTTAATTTAAAAAGCTCTTAAACTAAGATACGAAAGATTTTATAAATAAAACTATAAATAATTTGACCAAGTTAAAAGAGAGTACTAAGATTGAATCTTTTTAAAAGAAAGAAGTACATTTGGAGATTTTTCAAAAAAATTGTTTCTGATTGGAGTCCCATATCGAGAAACTGAAATATCTATATCACTGGAGACCTAATTTCTCCGATCTTTATAGGTGGTAAATGAATGTATAAGCACTCTAAGATCAGTGAAGTTAGTTAAGATTTGTAAAAATGAAATGCAATGAAACCCATTTAACTATGTAATAGGAAGACGGCATTTAAACAATATTATGTGTATTGTTGTTATACAGCAAATAGTTTTACCCGTAGCTAAAAATTAAGTGAAATGACTCTATGAATACTGCACAGTTTCTGAGTTTCATGTTCAATTTACTCATCAAAATTATAACTTGAGCCGCATAAACGGCTTCCTATTCCAGTTATAGTGCAAGGTCAAAACTTTGTATTTAATTCCATTTCATAATGAGTATAGTCAATTAATTTTAAATCATGATACAATCCAACCCCTTTCTTTAAACATTCTGAAAAGGAACTTTTATCCGTCGTATTGAAAGTTCACACTCTCAAAGAGAGGTTCTGTCTAATTAAATATTTTTAACATACCTTGTATCTTCATGCAATATTTTAGGAATTAATTTGTTGAATTTACTTCTGGTGAAAATATTTGAAATTAACTACACCAGTTTCAATATATTTCATTTTCCTCAACCTATTTGCAGGTTACATTTTCATTTTTTAGAAGAATAAAGATTTTTAATTATTACATATTTTTCTTGGAATTAAAGAAAATGTAATAATATAATATTGCTCAAACACAATATTTTTGTACTGCATTGTGTAAAGTCCTCACGCACAAAATGTAAATAAAAGTGAAAAATGTACATTTTGTGTAAAAAACAATGAAATATATTTCCTACTTTGAAGTTGTACCATTGTACATTTTACAGATAAAGAACACTTCTAACCAATTTTGATTTTTACAGCTGTATAAAATTTATTGAAATACTGTACACAGTACATTGTAAAGAGTATTTAAAAGAGTATTGTTTACCGAAACTCGCGAGTTCCCTTTTTGTGGAATATATATTTGTGTACAGTCTTACATTAGAGGGAGTAACAAAAAAAAAGATGATATAAAACTAACCATGATAATAATATTTCTTACACACAAATTTTGATATCTAAAAAATTCCGTTACCCCATTCATGAAACCGGGTTTCCGATACTGGGTTGTATAACGATACCCAGTCTTAAGTTTTGGGCTCTCAGCCCAATGGTTACAACGGTTACAGGAATTGGTGAGGCAGTTCTGTAGATCTCTCAATATTATTGTTAAGGAACATTATTTTATATGATTAGTTTTATATTTTATTTTTAAATTCTTTTTTTAGTGTAAATCTACACAATTGTTTATACCCCAAAATGGAAACTCGGGAGTTTCGTTCAACGATACTTATTTAATTTCGGGCTCTGGTACACTGTACAATGTGTACACTTTTTAATGCACTACTGTACACCGTATATACTGTACAGTTGGATGAGAATGAACGAGAATCTGTTTTCTGATATTCCTCTTCTAACAGCAGGTTCGAGAACAAAAAATTTCAAGAAAAATATAAAAATTTATCTTTCAATAATTTAGGGCTTCATCTCGGTATTAATATAAGAGCCAGAGTTCAGGTCATTAATCTTTTAGAATTTCAAGTTCAGAATTTTCTTGATTTTAAAGAAGATAAATGTACATTTTATATCCCAGTAATTGATGTCAAATCCCTGATTGGGATACCTACAACAGTGTACAAATATTCGTAACCCATGTAGAAAACAGATGAATCTCTTCTTTTTTACTTTAATTCTTTGTTTTTATATTGTTTTTATATTGTTTTTTATTGTTTTTATATTGTTTTTTTGTTTTTATATTGTTTTTGTATTGTTTTTATATTGTTTTTATATCGTTTTATATTGTTTTTATATTGTTTTTATATTGTTTTTATATTGTTTTTATATTGTTTTTATATCGTTTTATATTGTTTTATATTGTTTTTATATTGTTTTTGTATTGTTTTTGTATTGTTTTTATATTGTTTTATATTGTTTTATATTGTTTTTATATTGTTTTT